GCTGTGCCCTCTCCCATGAAATCATCTTGTCTGGGAAACTGTTCAGTGAAGGAGAAGCCTCATGGCAAGCACAGAAGAACTGTAATTATCTCCTCAATAATCTGACATTTCTGACTTTAATATGCTTGGTTGCTTGGTGTCATGATTAAGGAAAAAAAAAGGATTCTGTTCTACTTGCTTGTTAATAGTTCCTGAATCCTCCTAACTGTTCTTAAAATTTTTGGTATCATCCACAGGCAAGCGGTAGTGTACGGTGGGCAACGCTAGGAGTGAAAACGATTTGCGTGTGTGCTAAGTTGTTCTAATCATGTCCAACTCTTTGCAAGTCTGTGGACTGTAGCCCACCAGGCTCCTCTGTCCATGGGATTCTCCAGGCAAGAATACTGGAGTGGATTGCCATGCCCTCCTCCAGGGGATCTTCCAGACCCAAGGATCAAACTCACGTCTCTTAAATCTCCTGCATTGGCAGGTGGGCTCTTTACCGCTAGCACCACCTGGGAAGACCAAGAGGTAAAAGGGTTGAAGGGGAGTAAAATGAAGAGAGGATACTTTGAGAAAGACGTAAGTTCAAGGATGGATTCAGGTTGTAAATTCATAGAATGGGATACTAGGTACCAAGGAAGAAGAACTAGCCATCGAGCTGGAAGAGCATGGCTTCATCACACAAACATGATGTTCAGAACATACGATTTCATCTGAATAAGGCTCCAACAGGAAAAAACCCATCTCTGGTATTAGAAGTCAGTCAGAGGGGACTTCCCTGGTGGTCCAGTGGTTAAGAATCTGCCTTGCCAATGCAGTGGACATGGGTTCAATCCCTGCTCCAGGAACTAAGATCTTACCTGCTGCAGGGCGACTACGCCTGTGCATCACAGTACTGAGCCCGAGAACCGCACCTACCGAAGCCCGCATGCCTAGAGCCTATGCTCTGCACCAAGAGAAACCACTGCAATGAAGAGTAGTCCCCACTCACTGCAAGCAGAGAAAGTCTGTGTGCAGCATCAAACCAGCAAAGAAAGAAAGAAAAAGGAAGAGAGGAAGGAAGGAAGATAGAAAGAAAGCAGTCAGAGATTATCTTTGGGGAAAGCAGAGTTAAATAGGAGGGGCATCTACGGGGGAAGCTTTTATTTCGTGACCTGGGTGTTGGTTTTCTGGCTGCACTCACTCTGTGATGACTAATTCAACCATACAGTTCTGACTGTGTATTTTCTGTATGTGTGTTATACCTTTACAAAGCATCAAAAAGTTTTTTTGTTTTTTTTTTAAGTGGACTGCTGGGATAACTAGATAATCTTAGGTCAAAAGACAAATTCTGACTCCCTCCCTTTTTCTATATACAAAAGAGTAACTCAAAATGGATGAACTATCTAAATGTTTAATTTATGGCTTCTATCTAAATGCTTAAATTATAGCTTAATATTATACAAGTGTGGCTCCCCTGGTGATCCAGAGCTTAAGAATCTGCCTGCTAATGCAGGGGACATAGGTTTGATCCCTGGTCCAAGAAGATCCCAAAAGCCATGCAGCAACGAAGCCCAGGGGCCACAACGACTGAGCCTGCGCTCTGAAGCCTGCAGGTCGCCAGCTACTGAGCTCACGTGCAGCAGCTTCTGAAGCCTGTGCGCCCCAGAGCCCTGTGCTCCGCAACAAGGGCAGTCACCACAAGGAGAAGCCACACGCCGCAACTAGAGCAGCCCCCACTCTCCACCACTGGGGAGAGTCCACGCACAGCAACAGAGACCCAGTGCAGCAAAAAATAGCAATAAATAAGTATTTTAAAAAAGAAACTGAAAAGACAACTCACAGAATGAGGGATATATCTGCAAATTACGTATCTGGTAAGGGTCTAGTATCCAGACTGTATGAGGAACTCTTACAACTCAATAGCAAAAACATAAATAACCTGATTAAAAATGGGCAAAGGATTTGAACAGACATCCTCAAAAGAAGATGATACAAATTGCCATTAAGTCCATGAAAAGCTCAACATCATTAGGTATTAGGGAAATGCAAACCAAAACCACAATGAGATATCACTTCTTACCAACTAGGAAGGCTACAATAAACACACACACATACACACACACACCTGTCAACAGTACTGGTAAAGATGTGGAGGCACTGGAACCTTCACACATTGCTGTTCGGAATGTAAAATGGTACAATTGCTATGGAAAAGTCTGTCAGTTTCCCTAAAATTTAAACACCAAGTTACCATTTGATCTAGCAGTTCCACTCCTAGATACATACCCAAGAGAACTGAAAATATATATTCACTCAAAAAATAAGCACAGGAGTGTACCACAGAAGCATTATTTAACAGCCCCCAAATGAAAATGCCCAAATATCTGTCAAAAGATAAACAGATACATGAAATGGTATATCCATACAATAGAATATTGTTTGGCCATAAAATGAAATGAGACACAGGTAGTTGCTAACATACAGATGTTAAGTGAAAAAAGCTGGAAACAAAAGACCACATATTGTATGATTCCATGTGTATGGAGTGGGTTTAGTTGCTAAGTTGTGTCCGACCCTTGCAACCTCATAGACTGTAGCCTGCCAGGCTCCTCTGTCCATGAGATTTTCCAGGCAAGAATACTGGAGTGGGTTGGCATTTCCTTCTCCAGGGGATCTTCCCAATCTAAGGATCAAACCTGCATCTCTTGCATCTCCTGCATTGGCAGGCAGATTCTTTACCACTAGTACCAGCTGGGAATCCCCACAGGGTTTCTTTGAGGGACAATACATTTAGATAGTATTGATGCTTGCACAACCTCATGAAAAGATTGTACTAAAACCCACAGAGCTATAAACTCTAAAGTTGTGAAGTTTATGCTATGTGAGTTACATCTCATTGAAAAAACAGATTTGACATTAAGTCATTTAATTATTTTTGATTACTTTTTTCCATGGTGTTGATCAGAAGGCCAGGGATTTTCAGGGTGATGGTGGTGGAAATGAATGGAGACATCAGTACAGTTTAAGTCAACGGGAAATTAATACCTGGGCATGGTGCCTGGAGGGCTGAATGAAAAGGACTGCTGTAGACATTTTTAATCAAGATGCTCCCAAAGTTGGTGCTGCCCTGCTTGGGCTGGGTGCTACCTGTGAGTCTGCCCTGCTGGCTGAGAAAGCAATCTGGGCATGTCCTGCCCCAAACCTACTGGAGATGCGGTTTTTCTGGAGGGTAGAGCATGTTGGAAAGAGGAAACCTATGACCAAGGAGGTCTGGTTTGCTGGGGAGAACCGAGCAGGAAGACAAACTTGGAGGAGGAGCCAAGATGGCGGAGGAATAGGACGGGGAGACCACTTTCTCTCCTACAAATTCATCGAAAGAACAATTGACCGCTGAGCAAAGTTCACAAAACAACTTCTGAT